GCACAATTGGATGAGGGTGTGTAGAAGACTGCAGATAGATCCATGTCTGTCGCCATGCACAAAACTCAAGTCCAAATGGATCAAAGACCTCAACATCAATCCAGCCATATTATCAATTTTAAAGCACAAATCAGAGATTTCTGACAATGTTAAATAAAAAAATATTTCTTTTTATCAGTTTTAGTTAGTGTGTGTGTGTGTGTGTGTGTGTGTGTGTGTGTGTGTGTGTGTGTACACATATGAGTACAGGTGCCTCAGAGGAACAGAGGCATTAGATCCCTGAAGCTGACATTGCAAGCAGATGTAAGGGTCTGATATGGCACTGGGAAACAAACTGCACTCTAGTCAACTTGACAATGAAGATTAACTCTCATATTGATGGTTATCATGTGTGTGGAATCATTTTAAGTATACTATGTATACTGACTTACTGTAGACTCACAGTAGCTTTTATTACTACTATGGCTTGCATCAGAAATCACCATAATATGTAATACTTAGCTCTACAAAGTTGACATGGCTTATGGGCCATGGATTAAATATTTGACCTCAGTTGGCCAGATACCCAACATACAACCCACTTTGCTGTAATCCTTTTTGATATATTTAATTAAAATTATGGCATTGCCTAGCTTAGTGATACACTCCTGTCATCCCACCACTCAAAAAAGGTGAGGCAGGAGGATCATGACTTCAAGGCTAGTCTGGGTTGCTATATAATGAGTTCCAGGTTAAGCTAGAATACAAAAACCAGATCCTGTCTCAAATAAAATGAATCCAAGAATATCATTTTCAATGGATTTTATTTTAATAGACAAGTATTAGGCTGAAAAGAAATGGAAACAAAGTACAGAGAATGTACAAACATCTCTGCCACTACTTAGTAACAGTCTCCTTCACTATCAGCACCCATTCTACAATGGGTGTTATAATAACATGTGTTATAATAAATGAATATACCCTGACACATGTTTTACAGTTTATAACTTACGTTAGGATTCATTCTCCTACCTCCATCACCACCACAACCACCACAGGAACATATATTTGATCAAATGAAAAGGTCCTCGAAGTGGCTAAGGAGTATAGTCTTTATTTTCACCAAGCTTAACTGAAATTTAGCATTCCCTTGATCATGAAAGTAGACATGGTATTATGACTTCTTAATAATGTTACTTTGGTGTAGACTTGAACAGATAACACTGTTCCTGGCCACTCCCTTATCGGATATACTGCATTCACTTCCATTCATCCTTCCCCTATCCAGCCCTGGCAAACATAGACTATTTCCTGTCTCTATAACTTTGCCCTTTTTTAGGAAGTCATAGCTTGATTCATACTGTTTGGCATTTTTGCAGTTCAGCTTTCCTTCTTCGTAATAAACAGTTTAATTTCTGCCTCAGCTGTTCATGGTTTGATATCTCATTTATTTTTAGTGGTGAGTACAGTCTCCTATGCTTCATTTATTCATTTACTCATAGAATGATATCTCACTTGACTCAACTTTGCACAATTACAAATTAGACCACTGGAATCATCCATGCACAGGTTTTGTGAGAACATACGTATTCAATTACTTTGGGTCAGTGCCAAAGAGCACAATTGCTGAATTGTGTTGCAAAAATACATTTTTGTCAAAAACTGCCAAGCAGACACCATTGTGCCTGAACCAGTTTGAATTCCCACCAGCAATGAATAGAAATTCCTATTGTTCTGTTTTGCCAGCATTTGTGGCTGTTGGTGTTTGGATGTGGGCAATTCTAATTAATTCTTGCTAGAGAACAAGAATTTAAGTATGAAAATAATTTGTGAGTGCCTGTGTGCATGTGACAAGTATAGAAGAGTTGAAAGCATGTTATCCAGGGTACAAAGAGGACCAGAGACAGCACTAAAAGGTGAAGGGGCACCTTATTTTAGTTTATAATTTCCTGACATAATAGGTTAAGCATGTTTTCATATACCTCTTCTCCATATATATAGTATCTTCTTCAGAGAGGTAGTTTTTCTCTGTACTAAAAAAGTCTTTCATTTCTTTTCTGTTGAGTTTTAAAAATGTATAAGTATATTTGGTTAACAGTAGTTTATTATAAATTGTTTTAGAAGTATTTTCTCCCAATCTATGTAAAAGTTGTTAGTTTCTTGGGGTGGGGGAAAAGGACATATTTAAATAAGAATGTTTAGAAGTAACATTTTTATATAGTACTAGTCCACTCATTTTAATTTATGTATGTTTGCTTTGTGCTTAAATATACTCATGTAAGTATTGGAAATAATTCAGTGCAACCCAAATGTTGGCATTAGTATACATATAATTAAAATAAAGAAAACTGGCAGGCGAGGTGGTGGTGACTAAAACAAAGCTCTGTGTCAGGCATGCTTAGCAGATGAGGGGTTCTTGCTGGATAAACGAGAATAATTAGCCCCATCTGTGTGTTCCCACATGATACAGGAAGAGAGAAAATGGGAGGCTGTGTTTTTGCTAGGAGTAGATAAAGTCATGCAGAACAAGAACTACATAGAACAGAGGGTCAGGGACAAGTCTGTAGTTGTTTGGCATACTTGAAGATCTAGCCACGCAGAGAAGCCAATGCTTCCCAAGCATAACTGTATTTGCTGCTACAGAGGAAGAGATCAAGCCAAATGAAGCTTAAGCTACCATTGAATGGTGACCCAAAGTCACATTGTACCCACCCCAATACAAGTCTATGTGAGCACTGCAGATCAATAATCCCCCCTACCCATTCAAAGTATGGGAGGCAATAACTGCAATCAACTCCCTCTGTGTGATTAAAAAATAAAAATAAAAACTTGCTTTACAAATCTACAATTTGACCAAATGAATAACTGGGTGGGGGGGTAGAATCCTCTTTATTTTTAATTTTAACAGCACAAAACTGGAAACAGTCCACATATCTATTGCCAAGTGAATGCATAGTACAAATAAATTCTATATCATTCAATGGATTGCTGTCAAGCCAAATAACAATAATAATAATGATAATAATAAGATACTGATGAGTGAATCCCAACATAGTTATCACAAATTAAAGAACTAGACCAAAAAACACTTCAGTTATTACATATGCATAAAATTCTAGAAGATGCAGACACTAACGTAGAGCATATCAGTAGTTTCTTGGGTGGAGAAAGGAGGGCAGAGGGAAAGAATTAGGAAGAGCCACACAGTGATGAGCTTGCTCATTGTATTCATTATGTTCACACCTTCATTTGTTTGTACATGTATCATAACTTATCAAATTGCACACCTTAATAATATGCTATTTGTTTATGTCAAGTAAGCTCAGTAAAGCTGTAAAATTTTAAATATATGAAAACTTAATTAGAATGTTAAAATAATATTCATAAAACCCAATTCTAATTTTTTCAATGGGAATGAGTGTGGCAACTCTTGCTTTTAATTCAAGTACTTTGAGGGATGAGGCAGAAGGATTGAAAGTTCAGACCAGTTTATGCTACACAGAAAATTTGAGGCCAGTACATCCCTGTGTACCCAATGAAGGCATTGTAAATTCTTGCTGACTGTCACTGATATACGACATTAACTTGCACATTTCTCTGACCCAAAACAAGAGTAGCAATATGTTCCAGTACCTTGAGATCACTGGGTACTAGACGTGATTTGCCATTTCAGATGAATACATTGTGGGACCTTGGTTTTTCATTTGTTTATTTGGTTGGTTGGTTAGTTGGTTGCTTTATTTTTGTGTAGTTACACATAAAAACAAACAAGCTCATTGGCATTCCAGTTGCATTTATAATTGTACTTCTAAAGAAATGATATGTGCATTTTCTGCTTGCTCATGACCACAGCCAACAAAAAAATAGTTGACATATTTCAAGGTATGTAATGCCTTGAAATAGCTAGAGATCAAACGTTTGTCAATTCTAAATATTTGATAATACTTACAAACAATATCCTTGTCATTTTCATGGCTCTGTCAACTAGCCTATCTGAGACTAAGATTCACCTTTTGTTTCCTGCACAGCATGTGAGCACCATCCTCTAAGAACTACCTGTGTCCCATATGCCTGTAATAAATAGGTGATGCAAGGGACATAAACAGAACCATTTGGCTACACCCTCTTTTTCTCTTTATCTTACACTTCCAACATCCCTGTGTACCCAGTGGAGACATAGTAAATTCTTGCTGACTGCCACTGATATATGTCATTAACTTGCATATTTCACTGACCCAAAACAAGAGGAGCAACATGTTCTATTACCTTGAGATCACTGGGTACTAGGTGTGATCTGCCATCTTTAGGGATTTAAACTGAGCAAATATGCTTTATAAATGGAAACCTGGAAGGCGCCCAGGGAGTGGTTAAAGTCCACATTTATTGCTGAACTTTGACATAACACTTTCAACTGTATGGTGGTGTTATGTGACTAGTTAGCTGGGTGGAGACTAGCATATCTCAGCAGAATAGTTTAACACTCATATGACATTTGATATCAATCTCACAATAACCAGGGGCCATTCCCTGTTTCTTGACTGAGAGGAATTACATATTTTAAAAGAATTGTTAAAACTGGATCACTTGAGCCAGGCAAGGTGATACACACCCATAATCCTGGTACTTGGAAGGCTAAGCCAGGAGGATTACAAGTTCAAAGACAATCTGGGATACACAGGGAGACTCTATCTCAAAAGGAAAATGAAGTTAATGGAATAAAAAAACTCATTAGACATGAAAGTATAAAAATGACTAGCTAAATTTGACTGTTTAGTTTTGACAGACATGAGAAATAAGCTTGACATCACCAGTCACTCAAGTAAAATAGGTTGTGTGGGGTGGTTGTTTGTTTGGGATTGTTTTAGATTTTGCTGTTGCACAAGGGTGTCTGGTTTCACTCAAGTGTATTTTCCAGATTAATCTTAAATTGATGTGACTAAAATCCATTGTGTATGTAGTGTTTAGAATATAGTGCACTTTTTAAAACATGAACATATTTAGACTTTTTCTTTCTTTTTCAGGACTTATGCCTATTGCACAACAACCTGTTTACTGTGCCTCAAAGCACGGCATAATCGGATTCACACGCTCAGCAGCGGTGAGGAAGTCAGAACCACAGACTCTCTTCCTCCTTGCCCTCCTAAATGAAACCCAAATTTCATAGACTACAAGAAAAATAGTTAAAATTCAAAAACAAAATCTAGCCATAAGATGGAGGAGATATCTTACTTAAATTTTTATAACAAAAAGGTTTTGGTCACTTAAAAGAATAAACAAAGAATATACCACTGTAAAATAGGAAAGTGGTAGGTAATGCTAATGAATATTTAAAGATTAAATAATGCTCTTTGTTTTTAAAATAGTGCAATATTAATGTCAAGAGTCCTTAAATAGAACACTTAAATAGAATTTTGCATGCTGTTTGGGAAATGTTTTCTAAAGTACACACACACACACACACACACACACACACACACACAAAAAAAAAACAGAAAAGATAGTTGTGAAGTCTCTGATGGTACTGGAGAGAATGGAAGGACCAGAGAAATTATGTGTTTACATTAACAAAGAGAAAGTATTAGCAGAAGCATCAGCACTAATCATCCCCAAGAAGGAAGGCAGTCTTTACTCTTAATTTGGGTTGACTAGGCCTCAGAACTTAATTTGAAAATATTTCAGTGTTCTAGAAGAAAATAAACCATTACAAAGCAGACATTTCACATTTAAATTTATGACTATTATTCCAGTCAGCACTCGTTCACAGCAGTTATAAAGTTACTTGCAAATGCTATATTAGTAAATGTTGAGCCATCATTCCTGGAAGAAACAAAGGGTGAAGTTATTGAAAGCCTGAGTTCACAACCTTCTGGTCAAATACTCAGTATTCAACCTTGTTTTATGTGTATTTCTGTTTAATGAGAAGTAACCTTTATATATTGTAGAAATATTGAATTCACAAGTAATAGAACTTCTACAATGTTTGGCTCAAGAGAAATGTCGGTTGCTTAGCTTCAGGTCCCCAAAGAATTCAATAAAGAGAGCAGCTTAGATAATTCTCTAATCTTAGGAGTTTTCTGGTGCTTGTATTTTAAAACCATTAATACAGTGGAGCTTTCATGAATGAATTCTATGTGTTTATACCTTCTTTGCCCACTGGTAATTTTCCACATTTCAGAGCATATCTGATTAGTGTGCTTTGTATTGGCCTTTAGAGAACTTGTCCTTTCAGTTTATCCTTGACTATAATTCTACAAAGCTCCTGAAGCCTGCAACTGTGTTCTGATTGGCAGATGGCTGCTAACCTTATGAAGAGCGGAGTAAGACTGAATGCCATTTGCCCAGGCTTTGTCAACACACCCATCCTTAAGTCCATTGAAAAAGAAGAAAATATGGGCCAATACATAGAATATATGGATCAGATCAAGACTATGATGAAAGTCTATGGCATCTTGGAGTAAGTAGAACTTTCCACAATGGATGAAAGTATTATCTATACAAGCAATCAATCTTTCTAAAGTGTTAAATCTTAGAAAATGATGCAAACCTCACAGTTTGGGATGACAAATATTCTGAAAGGAAAAACAGGCAGAAGGAATAGGATTGTGTTTAAATGTCATGAATTCTGTTTTGAAAATAGACAGTACCTTCAGCATTCATCAGATTTCTTTTCTAAATGACATTTGTTCACCTTTCAAGACAATTAAAATTTATGTGCAACAAAGACTGGTTTCATGCACAGGGCCTAAATGGATCTGGGCCAGATAGGGTCCCAGCACTGAGAGGGAAAGGGACACAAGTCCCCATCCCTAACCCAGAAGGTATTGCCAATTGACAATCACTTGAAAATAAAAAACAGTTTTCTCCAGTGAAGTCTCGGTGGACATACAAATGACTCTTAAGACCAGACTTTATGCTCCAGTAGAAAGACAACACAAAACAAACTCAAAGGTACTTTTAGAGGTTGTCTCATAATGCTTTGTCGGGGCATTTCTTAAAACCTTATTTTGTATTTTTATAAGATTTCTGTTTGTGTCTATGTGTGTCTCTCTTGAGCTTTTTCTTTGGCTCTTTTTCTTTTGTTGTTTGTTTGTTGGTTCCTATTCTAGTTTGTTTGTTTTCATTTTGTTTAATTTTGTTTTATCATCATTATTTTTATGTGCCTTTTTTATCTGTATTCTAGTGTGATAGAGAAAGAAAGAATGTGGGTTTAAGGGGGTGGGGAAATAGAGGTGATTTTGAAGAGTTGGGGAGGAGAAACTATAACCAAATATAATGTATGACAAAGAATATTTTCAATAAAAATAAATAAAAAAGCAAATATATTGCCTGGCATAAGGGTACCTTTCATGAAAACAAAACAAACAAACAAAAAAGCAGATGAGGCTTTTGCAAGATGAGTTAGATGAGTTTTACTCAGCACAGAATTAAATATATTGTGCTGGAGGAATCAGAAATAAGATCAAATCTCAGGACCATGAACCTACCCACCAAACTTCAGAAAGTAGCAGTTTCCTTACATGTAAAGGGATAGTATAACTAATGTAGAGATCAATAAGATGATACATGAAATGCACTTAAAATGGTACTTGAAAAATTATCTTCGATAAATACTGTCAATTATGATCTAATTTCTCCTCCAATGAAGTTTCTGTTTAGAAAATCTGATACCTACTGGTACAGATGAGAAAATGATCATTTTTAACAATATAATTATTGACCTCAAATGCATTGCACAATGACCATTAAATCTCTTATATAATTTACTTAACATTTCAATAAATAAAATTTAAAGGTAGCAATAGTTAATGAAATACGTCTCCCTATGACAAGTATGTGGCTGCTTAAGAAAATGTTGTGAAGTTATTTAATTTCTTTCTTTAGTTTCAAAATACAAATGTTTCCTTCATTTTTAGCCCATCCATCATTGCCAATGGATTAATAACACTCATTGAAGATGATACTTTCAATGGTGCCATTATGAAGATCACAGTATCTAAAGGAATTCATTTTCATGATTATGACATCACACCATCATTTGTAAAAGATCCATGAACATCTTAAGAATCAACCATAACCGACAATAAACACAAGTGACTCACTCAGACTGCATCTTTACTAATATAGATTTTAAATGAAGTGATGTAGTATGAAACCTACCTTCATGTATCTGATGTTAATATTTTTCTAAATGATTAGTTAAATGTGTAGATAAAGATGGATGTATGACAACTTAATGAAAATACAGTGCAAACCCAAACTGGGTTATAATCTAATAATCTAAGGCAGAACAAAGGATATTCAAGAGATATTCTGCCTTTCAGAGAACATATTTATCACTGTCTCATAAATATTAATGGTTTTCAGAAATGGGATACTTGAATTATATGTTTGTACTTCAAAAGGGGGAAGCTAGTTTACAATGGAAATATTTAGTAATAAAAGAGTTTGTACATGATCTGCAAGCTAAACATTTCAACTCTTTGAAGATCTAGTGTAGGTGGGGAGACCAGTAGTTAGGGAATGAATTCCATTGTGACCATGCCCCAATAAAAAGCATCTGATGTATGGGAAAATGATACTGTTACTAACATTGAAGATTCACAGTTAAGCCTCAAACCAAGACAGCTTTTTCTTCCTTCCTAAATTTAGAAATTCAATGGATTCCGAAAACCTCAGGAATAAAACTTTTAATAGTTATAGCAAAAGGAGGAAACTGTAAAATTTTATATGTATTATATATACCTATTAAGAAATGATTCAAATGTATTTTTCCTGATTGTTTCTATGTTGATTTGCATTAATTTCAAAATTGCCTGTCTTTCAATAAAACTTTTATTTGAATTCACATAAATTTCATAGTCTTTTGTGTACTCCTGATGAGATAATAAAACCAAAACTAAAAATGTTGTTGTACATATACTAATAATCATAATAACACAAACTGATAAGTTGTTCTGCTTTGTTTTCTGCATTGTCTGATATTTAAAGATATTTAAATATACCCCCTTTGAGCAATGCTATTTAAGCAGTAAATGATAATAAAGGTGAAAGTACACAATGTTCACATCAGTCAGCACCTCAAAGAAATGTAAGAAATTCACTGTGTTTGCAAAATCCAGGCTTCTCAGCTTGGAACAAAATCCACCTATTTGAAATTGATAAGTACTTCCTTAATACTGCACTATTAGCACACCTTACATAATTTTAATTCTTCCATGAAGAACTACCCACTTACTTTTCAAGGAGTAATTTGAATATGAATGACTAGTCTGAATGAAGTTGCACCTAATATATTGGCATGCACCAGGAAACCAGTATCTGTGAACATCTAGTAGAAATGAATTACAATTAGACACCAATGCCTTTGCATATGATAGTAGTGACCAATCAGCAAGTACTACATGTATGTATAGTGTGCCTTACCTTGTATCTTTAAGTTACAACTTAAACTACTTATTTGTGAATAATTATTTTATATTCACAGACATCAATGTCAGTTATGATTTGAATTGATTTTTAAAAATTAACTATAAATATACTTAAAATCAATTATTACATACAACTGAAATATTATTATGTTAAACATTTACTAAAAATTTTATGTTCTATATGTAGCTTTAAATAAATCTACAATGTGTGTCTCCATGTGACAGATGGAAAACATAATTAAATTGAATGTGCAGTGGTTTCTTTAATTGCATGGTTTTCTTTGAATATGTAGTTTTAAATATTTTACGTATTTTTCTTTATGAGTAGAATTAGAATTCTTACAACAGAAAACCTACAAATGTAACCACATAAGAGAAACTGAGAACTTGATGAAGAGATATTGAAATGTCCAGTCACAATAATTTTTCTCAAATTAAAAATATGTTACAAGAACACAAGCATTAAGGTATTATAACTGGCATTCTGATAGCCAAGATGGTAATTAGTGGGTAGATGTAAAATATGAATATGCTAAACAAAATTATTCATGTCCCACGCAAGAAAGAATGAAAAGACACAATATTTTATCATACTACTTAAAGTGGCACTAACAGAACTTACAAATTGTTTATTTCTGGGATTTTCCCAGGTATAACATTTTCAAAGTATGAGTACTTAAACCATGGATAATGTAGAATTACTATATTGTAGGAAATACACGCCCAAGTCTTAAGGTCTTAACAAAACAGAATCACAACCCTTTTAGGCAAAAGTATTCAGTGTAGGTAATGATTCAAAGGTTCATATTACCTACTGTTCACAGCTCCACCATGGTTCAAAGTCTCATCTATTACGCAAATATAAACAAGGCACGCCTGGTTCATATTTAATTCGTTCTATTCTAGTGTGGTTTGAAAAGCTTCACAAACAGCCCCACCTATGAGTAAGGGTGGTATGGTGTGATGTTTTGAAATTCGATCCCAACTGTGAAGCCACTTTGCAGCAGCAAGGATACATTGAAAGCTGAAGGATGAGTCATTGATTCTCAGCAAAGAGCTGAAGTATCTAACAGTCCTCTCATGGTTTTAAGCTTAAATATAATACTAGTTTAAATCATTGTAATGTTTATAATTTGTGTTATAATTTTCTTGATGATGTGACACTGAAAAAATGAAAACTTAAAGGGATTTTATTTACATCTATAGCCTATTTTTTTTCCCTTGGGTTGTTTATTTTCTTAATTTTTTTAGTTATTTTTGTATACTTGATATTAATCTTCTGTCATATATACATCTGGCAAAGATTTTCTCCCATTATGTAGGCTTCCTTGTTACTCAATAGACCATTTCATTTGCTATACAAATAATGGTCCCAGTCCCTTCCGTTAAGTCCTCATTGGAACAGCTTTGTAGATTTCTTAGAAGAGGTCTTATAGCTCAGTCCTCTATCATCTGTTGGAATCCACTGGATTCTACAGCTGTGATGCCCACTGCCATTGTTGCAGTTACAAGTATGAGTAAAAGTACAGAAGACCTTTAATGGGATGTTGAGCAGTTGTATCCCAGGGACTGGAGAAGCAGCTAATGGAATAATAGAATATTCCCTTTGTTTCTCCAACTATAGCCAGTCATTAGTTCCAGTGTGGCTCCTAAACTGCCATCATACCTGATCAAATTCAATACTTAGTAACAACAACAGGTGTACTAAAAATCTAAAAATGTATGCCAAGGTCATTGTCATCAGGATGTCTCAGTGGGAAGAATTACTGATGGACCTGAGACTCGGAGATCAACCCCAGGACCACAATGACAGGAGAGAATAGATTCTGTGAATTACCCCAGACTTCCACATGCACACTCACAAATACACACACACACACACACACACACACACACGTATACACACAAATTTAAAAAAAAATACAAGTTCTAAAACTTATATTGAGTGGGATTTCTCAGTCTTACAAAAAAACACCTATCAAAAAAATTGCCATGCTAAATGATCAAATGTTAACAATAAAAATAACTTTCTGTAATTGGGAAAAGAACCAGAATTCCCGCTATCTCCACTTTTACTCAATATTCTAGTTTAATTGGGCAAGGAAAAAAATTCATTGTGAAGGGAAAAAGTATAATTATTGTTATTTCCACTGGATGAAACTATAATTGTTAGAACGTCCAAAATGTTTAATTAAATCCAAGAGGGAATGATGAGCTAAGCAGGTGTGTGTGGCTTTCACATACCTAGGGGATATTGCCCATTCAGTTCTTCACCCCAATAAAGCAAATGTCATAATAAAATGAGTCACATGAGTTTGTTAGATTGCTTCTGCTTATAAAGTTATATGTACACTTTTATAGAACATTAATTCTACAATACTAATGTGCCTTAAATGCATATATTAAAAGGCTTCATTTTAATAATGATAAAATGTCAATGGTCACTTGAGCCATCATGAGTCTTCCATGAATGTGAATGAGTTTGCTGATGGAGTCTCCAATGCAGGTTAATAGCAGCTGGTGGATCTGGGTGTTAATTACTGAAGGATACTAAAGGTGTTAGTTACTGCAAAAAAAAAAAAAAAAAAAAAAAATCTCTTAAAACAACAATGTATTTTGCTACATCAATTTGTACTTCCTAAAGATTTTGTTGACAACACTAGGACTTCTAAACCATTCAAGTAGTCATCCTGGAATAGCTCCTCAACCAATCCCCAACCATCACAACAGTCAGAAGCAGATAGACAAGTTTTACATGACACTTTTCCTGAGGAAACATGAAATATGAGTCAATTCACCCCAGAGAATAAACCAGAAGTAACGATTACGCTGAAGCCCAACTTGGTGAATCAATTAGTTTGTTGATATTGCTTCCAGGAATGTGGGTGAAAAGTTACCTGTAGAAGCAGGGATGATTCAAATGCTGTTGCATCGCTACTGAAAGACCCACTCCAGCTTGGTGGGTTTTTGATGACTCATGAAACCTGGAACCCTGGGACTCTGTGTATCTTAAGCAAATCATCATATATAGGCATGTTTTCTGGGAATCTCAATTCATGGGAGTCTCCCCGAGACAGCTGAACTGGACAGTCTATTTCCCTAGATGTTTTTACTGTGTTTGTAACCTAGGGGAGGGGCTTTGCAAATCCTGTACATTTTAATTCTCATGAAACCCATAAGTGTTTTATTTTAAATGTTTTGTCTCTCTCTCTCTCTTTTGAAATGAGACTATAATTATAGCATTTTCCCCTTCCCTTTCCTCCCTCCAAAACTTCAATGTACTGCCCCATCCATCTTGATCTCTTTCAAATTCATGACTTGTTCTTCTCTATTTGTTGCTACGTGTGTGTGGTGGAGGAAACATTCCTAAATACATAAAATACATAGACACAATCTACTCACTCTGTGTGTAACTTCAGGGCTGACAATTTTGTATTGAATAGCCAATTGTTCCTCTCTTACCTGGGAAGCCTGTTTATCTTGCTCACAACAGTCCTAAGTTACTTAAAGGTTTTTTTTGTTGTTATTGTTGTTTTTGTTTTGTTTGTTTTTGGGTTTTTTGTTTTTGTTTTTTGGGTTTTTTTTTTTTTGCCTAGGGTCACTGCCTAACTCTGTTTCCACTCACTGCCCCCAACCCTTGCTCCCAATATGCTGAGATCTTGTGCCTTTCCCCTTCTGTGGGGACAATGTAGGTCTCTCTTAGCATCCTCCTTGTTTCCTAGCTTTTCTGATGGTGTGAACTGTAGGATGGTAATCCTTTACTCTATGTCTAAAATCCACATATGAGTGAGTACATACCAAGTTCGTCTTTTTGTGACTGGGTTACCTCACTCAGGATGGTTTCTTCTAGTTCCATTCCTTTGCCAGAGAGTTTCAAGATTTCATTTTATTCCCCCTCTGAGTAGTATTCCATTGTGTAAATGTACCACATTTTCTCCATTCATCAGTTGAGGGACATCTAGGTTGCTTCCAGGTTCTGGCTATTACAAATAATGCTGCTATGAACATAGTTGAACAGCTGTCCTTGTTGTACGAGTGTGCATCTTTTGGACAAATGCCTAAGAGTGAAATTGCTGAATCATGAGGTAGACTGATTTTCCATTTTTTCTGAAGAACCCCCATACTGATTTCCAAAGTGGCTATATGAGTTTATACTCCCACCAGCAGTGCAGGAGTGTTCTACCTTCTCCACATCCTCTCTAGCATAAACTGTCTTTGGTGTTTTCGATTTTAGCCATTCAGACAGGAGTAAACTGGTATCTCAGAGTTGTCTTGATTTTCATTTCACTGATGGCTAAGGATGTTGAGCACTTTCTTGGGTGTCTTTCAGCCATTTAAGATTCCTCCATTGAGAATTCTCTATTTAGCTCTGTACCACACTTTTTAATTGGATTGTTTGGTGTTTTGATAACTAGCTTCTTG